TTTCCCTTCCAGACCCTTCCCTTAATTTTATTCAAAGTCTGGCATGGTAGAAAATTAATTTCCAGGAATTTCACCACGTTTTGGAGGCGCTGGAAAGAAGAAATTCCAAAAATAATGGGATTTTTCACGAGTTTCACTTCGGCTTTGTCTGGGAGAACAATCCAAGGGTATCAGGAATTGTCAGGATTTGAATGGATTTATTCAAACCTCGTGTGAAAAACCATTTCAGTGTTGATTACAGCCCCAAATCCACGACTTTTAGGGAACAATTCCACCCTGGAATGACTCACTGGAAGCAATTAGGAGTTTCAGACTTGTTTGGAACTGGGAAAGTTTAATGGGATTTAGGGTGGGTTTAATGGGAATGGGGCAGGAATAAGGCACAGCTGTGTTCCAGGATCAGCTTTCCCTGTGGAATTCTGGTCTTTGGAGAACATGGAATTCAGGCTGGAATAAATTCCTGCTAGGAGTGGGAGCTGGGGGGAAAATGAGGCCAAAAACCGGAATTTTGGTGCATCCAGAGTTTTGCAGCACCACGGAGAGCGACAAACCACAAACCCAAGGATGGGGAGTTTGGGTGGATGAGAGGAACAGGAAAATAAAACTGATAAGGGTCACAGATAAGAGAAATCCTTTTCTAGAGGCTCATCCATCCTAAAAGGGATTTAATTCTTGTTTTAGGCTTGGTTTTGAACACTCATTTAAGGCCTGACTTTAACTGATAAGCGGTGGAGGAACAGGAGAATAAAGCTGATAAGGGTTGAAGACAAGATAAATCCTTTTCTAGAGGCTCATCCATCCCAAAGTGAATTTAATTCTTGTTTAAGGCTCAACTCTGAGCTTAACTCTTATGAGGCTGGAGGAATGGAAAATAAAGCTGAAAAGGCTCAGAAATGGTCACAGATAAGAGAAATCCTTACCCAGAGATTCATCCATCCCAAAGTGGATTTAATTCTTGTTTAAGGCTTGAATTTAACTCATGTAGTCAGGAGGAACAGGAAAATAAAACTGATAAGGGTCACAGATAAGAGAAATCCTTTTCTAGAGGCTCATCCATCCTAAAAGGGATTTAATTCTTGTTTTAGGCTTGGTTTTGAGCACTCAGGATTGACTTTGAGTTTAACTGAAAAGAGGTGAGGGAACAGCAAAATAAAGCTGATAAGGGTTGAAGACAAGATAAATCCGTATCCAGAGGCTCGTGCATCCCAAAGTGGATTTAATCTTAATTTTAGGCCTGGCCATGAGCACTCATTTAAGGCTCAACTCTGAGTCTAACTGATGTGAGGCTGGAGGATCCACTCCCAGGGATGGGGCAGCCACAGCTCCTCTGGGAATTCCATCCCAGCCCTCCTAGGCAGAAATTCCCATGAAACGAAAATAAAAATAAAAATAAAAATAATTTTAAAATGTAAAATTAAAAATACAATTTAAAATAAAAATAAACATAATCATAAAAGTAAAACTAAAACTAAAATTCAACTAAACATAACAAAAGATAAAAATAAAATGAGCATGAACATAAAATAAAAATAAAAATAAAAATAAAAATAAAAATAAAAATAAAAATAAAAATAAAAATAAAAATAAAAATAAAAATAAAAATTAAAATGAAAATGAAAATAAAACCAAATAAAACTAAAACTAAAAATAACAAAACTTCCTGCTGCACATGGAATTCCTGGGAGAAGGAAAAGCTGGGAATGAAGCACCATTGCTGGAGGTGGTGATGGATATCTGTGGATATCTCCGGAGCAGGGAGCAGCAGCAAACACATCCATTTATTTCTATGGCAACAGGAATAACTCAGGGCTCACCAGAGCCCAAATCTCAGCTGCCTTTGGAAACTCCAAGTGATGATTCCCACTCTGATCCATGACTTTCCCAGCAACATCCAGAGTTTTTATCTCATTCACCTCAAGTTAAAAATCAGTCTTTAAAATCCTTAGAGGAAAACATGGTGGGAATTCCAGGCAGAGGCTGGGATTGGGTTCCTCAGGAACTGGGATTGAGTCTCAAATTGACTGGAAATTCTGTGTCTGGCTGGGATTGGGATCTTCCCAAGGCCTTACTGCACTTTGGGGAATTTTGTGGGAATGAGGAGCGGACAAATCTCCAGCCCCAACCCTCTGTGTAACCAGGATCTGCTTCCCTCTCTTCCAAAGCCTCCAACTCGATTTTTTTTAAAATAAAGCTGCTCTTTCACCACTTGGGATGGTTCTGAATCTGTTGATTCCCAGCCTGGCCAAGCTCTGCAGATTTTCCCTCATTTCCACACTCATTCCATTGGGTTTGACCTTTTTCCTCTGCTGGATGTGAAAATTCTGTGTCAAATCCTTCCCATCCATCCAATCCATTTTTGGAGCCGTCTCCAAAAACTTGGAGCAACTCAAGGACCTTCTGCTCCTCAGTCCCTCTGCTGTTCTGAGGTTTGAAGAGATCTTGATTTAATTACTCCAGTCCTTAATCAGAGTCAGGATTAAATTCAGGAGGAAGGATTCAATTCCAACATTTCCACCCAATTCCAACATTTCCGTCCAGTTCCAGCCAGGCTTGGACCCAAATTAAGGGGATTTGGGAGAGGGTTGGACACGGATCATGGAATCCTGGGTTGGGCCAGGTTGGGAGGGAGCACAGGGGTCATCCCAGAGTGGGATTATTTCTATGGCAACAGGAATAACTCCTGAAATTCAGGAATATCCCCAAGAGAGAGACTCCACACCCTCTGTGGGATCTGCTCAGGGCTGAGGAGGAGTTCAGAGGGGATTCCTGGGATCAGTCCCTGCCCGTTCCTCTGGAGCAGAGCCCTCCCTGCAGGACAGGGACACCCAGGGACACTTGGGGACACCCAGGAACTCATAGGGACACAGAGGAACAGACAGGACAGACAGGGACACCCAGAGACACCCAGGGACATCCAGGGACAGGTAGGAACACCCAGGAACAGACAGGGACAGACAGGGACACCCAGGAACATCCAAGGACACCCAGGAACACATGGGGACACCCAGGGACACCCAGGAGCAGACAGGGACATCCAGGGATGCCTGGGGACACACAGGGACACCCAGGGACACACAGAGACACCTGGGGACACCCAGGAACCCATGGGGACACCCAGAGACACCCAGGGACAGACAGGGATACCTGGGGACACCCAGGGATGCCCAGGGACACACAGGGACCCACAGGGATACGCAGGGACACCCAGGGATCCATGGGGACACATGGGGACACCTAGGGACACCCAGGGACACCCAGGGCTGAGGCCCCTCTCAGCTCAGCTGGGGCTCCTCTCCAGGCTGAGCAGCCCCAGCTCCCTCACCCTCTCCTGGGCATGGAGCTGCTCCAGGCCCTTCCTCATCCTCACATCCCTCCAGGAGCTCCCGTCCCTTCTGTGCTGGGGCCCAGAGCAGGACACAGCACCCAGAGGGGCAGGGTCACTCCTTGTCCTGCTGGGAATGCTCTGTCCCACACACCTCACCATCCCATTGTCCTTCACGGCCACCAGGACAGCACAAAGAGCAGAACCAACCCAAGTCCCTCATTTTGAGGCTTTTATCTCCATCTCAGCTCTGCTTCCTCTCCGCAATGTCAACATAAAAAATGCCACAAGCACATGGATCGTCAAATATCCCATCCAGCAAAAGGGGAGACACAGACAAATTCTAAAGGAAAGAAACTCTCCCGTCCCTGTAGGGCACTGTCCCCTGTGCCACCAAAGGTCCCTGTGCCACCCACGGGTGCCAGGAGCTCTTTTCCCTCTGCTCTTTGCCCTCTGCCCAGGGGAATTGGGCACTGAAATCGGGATTGCAGGGAATTCTCTCCCAGGCTTTGTGTTCCCTTCATTCAGCCCCAACAGAGCGCTGTTGGCTCAAGTGGGTAAAGAATTTAACCAGCCTTGAGAGCTTTGGAAAATCCTGCCTGTCTTCCTGCTCAGATTCCAGTAAAATTCCTCTTTTCCCAGTGTTTATTTACAGGAAAAGCGCTGCTTTCTTCAGGGCAACTTAGGCACCACCGTGTTTATCCAGCAACATTTTCCCTAGCACAAACTGCCAATAAATTCTAATAAAATAAAGATAATTCCTTTAAATTAACCCCATTTGGCTTCAAGCTGCCGCTCCTGGCGGGATCATTGCTGGGCAATAAATTGTGGGCATTTTCTGGGCGTGTTTGCCGAGCAGGTGATGCGAAGCTCCTCTCCTTGCCTGTTTATCATGCCAAATTCTATTTTTATCAGATGACTCTTCCCATTGTCATGGCGAGAGCAGGCTGGAGTCTCGCTCGCGTTTAGCAACCCATGCCCATAAATACATCAGCAGATTGAATTCCAGCCTGACATGCCAGCAGCAGCTCTGCCTCGCTTTTTTTCCCCCGTGTTCACACGTCTGACTCAAGCACCCGGCTCTAATTGAAAAGCCTCAACAGAGGATTAAGATCAGATCCATTATTATGAGCGCGATGCTCTGTGCATGCTGATGAGGAGGGGCTGAGCTCGGAGCTGCTCTGAGCCCCCCAAGCTGCCCAGAAATTGGGGAGGTGATGCTGGGAGCGATGTTTGAATGTGTGACAGCACAGGGAGGGTGCGGGGAGGAGGGGGGAGAGCTCTGCCTCACTTTTATCGCACTTGTTGCATCGCAAAATACTCAAAATCCCAAATCCTTCAGCCCCTTCCTGCCCAGCAGAGTTTAGGAGGGAGCGAACCCAACACCGGGCTCTCCTCCCAGCCTGGATTTTCAGCCCCCATCTTCCCTCCAGGGAGCGATTTTAGGGCCTGACTCGGAGCCAGCTGGAGGAAATCCTCCCCACATGAGATCCCGTTCTGCGGGGATGATGGAGATGCGCCCTTGGCACTGGGGCTCTCCTTCTGCCCAGGCACGGGGGCGTGAAACCGGAACCCCGCAGGTGCCAGAGCCCTCCCGCTGTCCCCAAACGCGCCCCCGGGCTCGGCTGCTGCCTTTGGGGTTTGGGAAAGGCTCGGTCCCAGCCTGCGGGAGGCTTTAGGGGATTTCTCGGAGCTGGAGCAGGGGGAGATGCGGCTCTTCCCCCGCCGGCTCAGCCCCGGGGCTGCGGGAGCGGCAGAGCCGGGTAAGGACAGCCCGGGATGGGGAACGGGGATGGGGATGGGGATGGGGATGGGGGGACAGGGATGGAGGGACAGGGATGGGGATGGGGGGATAGAAATGGGGGAGTGGGGACAGGGATGGAGGGACACGGATGGGGGGGACAGGAATGGGGATGGAGAACGGGGATTGGAATGGGGGAACAGGGATGGGAAGGGGGAACAGAGACAGGGGAACAGGGATGAGGATAGGGGAACAGGGATGGGGGAGTGGGGATAAGGATAAGGGGACAGGGATGGGGAGGGGGCAACAAGGATGGGGAACAGGGATGGGGGAGTGGGGCAGAGGCACGGAAAAGGGGACAGACGTGGGGAGGGGGACACAGGCATGGGGAGGCGGCACAGAAATGGGAAAGGGAACAGATATGAAAAGGTGGCACACACACGGGGAGTGAGCACACATACTTGAAGGTGGCACACACACAGTGGAGGTGGCACACACACACGCTCGCAGGTGGCACAGACACGGGGAGGGGGCACACACACACTCGCAGGGGCACCGGCGGGCAGAGCATCCCTGCGCAGCGCTCCCGCTCGCAGCAGCCGCTGCCAGCCCAAGTTGGCGAGCAGGGGGCGGCCCCAGGGCTGCGGCACCCCCGGCCCCTCCGGGCCCCGTGGCTCCTCCCGGGGGAGCGGCCAGCGCGGGGAGCGCTCCCGGCGCGGCTGCGGGAGCGGCGGCTCCTGCTCCAGCCCCGGAGAGCAGCCCTGGAGCCGCAGGTGAGCACGGCCCGGAGCCGGGAACGGGAACGGGAGCCGAGAACAGGAGCCGAGAACGGGGAACGGGAGCCGGGATGCGGGAACGGGAGCCGGGAACGGGAACGGGGATGCGGGAACGGGAGCCGGGATCGCTGCGGGGAGGATGGGCACGGGGCAGGCGGGGGATCCGCAAAGCGAAGGAGGCACCGGAGCCGTCGGTCCCGCTTGTGGAAACACCGAATTTGCCCTTCTGAGGGGGATTTTGGTGCTGGAGTGACTCCATCCTGGCTGGGGGATGTCGGAGAGGGACCCTCTGGGCAGTGAGGTGACAGTTCTGGCTGGGAGGATGACAAGGAGGAACCCTCTGGGCAGTGAGGTGACAATCCCAGCTTGGAATACCCGGGAGGGACCCCCGGCCGTGGGGATGATGCCGCATTTGAAGTAGGAGCAGCCTGAGCGCGGTTTTGGGGCTGGGAAGGGACTCGAAGGGCACCAGCGGGCACAGCCCGGGGCCGCTGTCACCCGGGGGTGTGACAGAGCCCTGGTGGGGCTCAGGGACAGAGCAGAGCCCTGGGATAAAACACGGCAGGGAGAGCAAAGCTGGGAGCTGCTCCAGGGGGGTCAGAGAGCAGAGATGTCAAGGTCGAGGTGACATCGAGGGGTCAGGCCAAGGTGACATCAGGAGGGTCAGGATGGAGCCGGACTGGGAGCAGCTCCGGCTGTCCCTGGGCTGGATCCCTGCAGTTCCCGGCCCCAGAACCCAGAGCTTGGCATGGAAAAACAGGGAGAGAACAGCCGGCCTCAGAAAGAGCCAGGCTCGGGAGGTTTGGGATCAAGCAGAGACTTTTGTAGCTCTGGGGAGGAGGAGACCCCCGGGTGAGACCCCACAGCTGCTCCCTGGGGTGCTGGGACCAGTCTGGAGGTGCTTGAGCGACCCCCAGCTCCTGGGGCCAGCCTCGGTGGCTGCAGTGGAGCTGCACTGCTGGGGTGGGATGGATCCTAAAGCCAGACACCCCAAATCCTGGAATTTCCCCCCCCAGAGCTGCTGTTCCTGAGCTTCTTCCATCGCAGGGCCAGGGCTGTTCCCATTCTCCCTCAGACTGGAATCAGCACTCCTGCACCCACCTGGAATATCCCTGAAATCCCTGCCTGTCCCTGGATTGCAGAGGGAAAGGGAGGAACAGAAACCTTTGGGGAAACCTCCTGGGTTTGGGGATGTACTGGAGCTGGAGCTGGGTTTGGGAGATTCACGCCAGCCCCACTGCCCGTGGGGGAGCAGAGATGGAGCTGCACACCTTGCTCTGCCTGGATTGGCTTAAATCAGGAGCAAACTCAGCCTTAAATCTGGGACCAAACCCATCTTAAATCCAGGAGCAAACCCACCTTAAATCTGGGACCAAACACACCATAAATACAGGAGCAAACCCATCCTAAATCCAACGGCAATCCCACCTTAAATCCAGGAGCAAATCTAGTCTAAATCTGAGAGCAAACCCGTCTTAAATCCGGGAGCAAACCCAGTTTAAATCCAGGACCAAACCCAGTTTAAATTTGGGACCAAGCCCAGCAGCTTTTGCTTTCCACGAGTGTTGGTGTGGCAGGAGCAGCTCAGCCCAAGTGAGTAATCCCTGAGCATGACTGAAATGTGTCTGGGGAGAAAAAAAGATTCAGCAAAGATTTGGGTTTGTGAGTTGTTTTATGAGTTGTTTGCTCATAAAAATAGGAGCAGCCTCTCAGGTGCTCTGGGAAACCCTGGGAAGGGCTGAGGGGTAACAAGGTGGTGCCAAACATACAATTTTAAAAGACTTTTTAGGGTTAAAAGTCGGAAGAAGTTGTTGAACTTGGAATTCAGCAGATTGGTTTAGTCCCAATTCAGAGAGTGGAAGCAGAGGAGCAATTTCAGATGGGAAAGTTTTGTTTTCAGCAGAGAAAAATCCATAATTTGTTTTTTTCAGGGCAACAAACGCCCCCTGAGAAGCATCAAAGATTTGTCCAAGGAGAAAATTCCTTTTCAGGAGAATCTGAAAGGATTCCTTTGGGTTTTTTTAAACTCCAGGTGGTGGGAATGGGAAAACCGAAGTGTCCCTGTTGCATTGTGCAGAACATTTCCATCCCTCAGAGCTGAGGCAGCTCTCAGGGTGATGCTGCATTTCCCTGCTGCTCCCCTCCCAGCTTTCCTGGGATTTCTGAGCTATCCCAGAGCTGCCCTGCCAGGTCTCCTGTAAGATTGAAGGGGGGTAGGATGGTGGGGACAGACGGACACGAGAGATCTCTGCAGCCAGGTCGTGGAATTTGGGGTTTATTGCACAGGGCCTGGGTGCAGGGCCCTGCCGGGAGCTGCCACAGCTCAGAGCAGGACTGAGAGAGAGAAAGAGAGGTAAAGAGAGTGGTAAAGAGGATGAGACAGTGAGGTTCCCGTTACAATACAATAAATCTTCTTCTGGTCATGGAACTTGGGTTTATTGCACAGGGCCTGGGTGAAGTGCCCTGCTGGGATTTGGGGTTTATTGCAAAGGGCCTGGGTGCAGGGCCCTGCTGGGATTTGGGGTTTATTGCAAAGGGCCTGGGTGCAGGGCCCTGCTGGGAGCTGCCAATCACAGCTCAGAGCAGGCCCCAGAGAAGAGGGGGAGAGAGGATGAGAAGGTGAGAGAGTAAAAGCATAAGAGAGTAAAAGGGGTAAGAGCATAAAAGGCAAGAGCTCAGAGACAAGAGGTGAGAGTAAGAGCTAAGAGGCAAGAGCTAAGACAGCCAAGTTCCCGTTCCAATACAATAAATCTTCTTCTGTGCTGAATATTCTGATTCTCACTAACCAATCCAGTACAAGATACAAATCCTATAGCATTTACATACAGCCTATAAGAATCACTACATTACCACACTGTGTTACATTTTAAACCCTAAAAACTCCTCTTTGGGCCCCTTCTGCCAAGCTGTAGGGTCTGCTCTGAGCCTTGGGCCTGCCTGCAAGCAGAGGGTGTTGTTCCATCAAAAGGGGATCACCTTCAGCTGGCCACACCATTGTTTTCCAGTTGTTCAGTAACTGAGGGATCTCAAACCTTGCTTTCATTTCAATCTCGCTTATAGTTTCCATATTCTCAACATCTTTTGCCAGGCAATCATATTTGTGAGGCTTTCCTGTTTCATCTTCCCCAACAGTCTCCCTCCCTCCTTGCCCTGCCTGCCCCATCCACCCAAACCCACAAACGAGGCCCCAGGAGCTCCCTGAGGAGCAGCAGCTGATGGACACAGCTCCAAAACATGAAAACAATGAAATTATCAAAACCCCAGGGATTTATTGCGGCCAGCTCCACGGGATGGGAGCTCTGCTGTCAGGAGACAATTCCTGGAGAGTTCTCGGGGTGTTTTTCCTCCCAAGACAGTTTGAAAAGCCTGGATTCCCACTGGCTGTGTTATCCCTAATTATCCTGCTGCTGGAAGCAGCAATCTGCCATGCTGGTGCTGTAATTCCATTCCCAGCAATTATCGTGGATGAGAGAGTGATGATTCCAGAGGCAAACAGGCAGCAGGATCCAATCCAGCTTGGAAAATGAGGTTTAATTCCTGCAATTCCTGCCCCACTCTCATGCAATGTTCTCCATGGAGTTATTTTTGCTTTCCTGCTGTGACCTGAGCCCAGGGAAAACTTCAGCCTTGATCTGTCTGGGCATTTTTAATTTTAAATTAAAAATGTTAATTCCATTTTAAACGTTTGTTTTTCCTTAGGTTGGGATGATTTTTCAGTCGCTGTTCTGTTAATGCTTGGGGTTTTTTTCACCCAGGTTTATTTAGGAGTTTTCACAAATGCGAAATTCTAGCACCATAACACCTCTGCTATTTATTCCCTGAATTTTTTTGGGAAGCAGAGACAGAGATATATTCAGCTGCTGTGGATGCTGATTTTTTCCTGGATGGTGCTCTGTCAAAACTTGGAATTCTGTCAGTGATTATTCCAGGTCCACGTTCCCAGCTCCTCATTTTTAAGCAGAAAACCCAGAATTTATGGACAATCCCAGGGTGGGGGCTTGGAAATCGAAGTGGAATAAAAAGCTGAATGAGAGAAAAACCCCTGGAGGCGTGTTTGTTATTAATCCCTTAATTAAGAACACCAAACAAGGCGATGAGGGATCAATCAGCGCCTCTTAATTACCTTTAATCATCATCTTTAATCACCCTTTGTGCAGGTTCAGGGTCGTGGTGACAAAAGGAGCTGAGGCCAAATGGTGCTGGTGAGGGACAAATTGTCACCTGGACAGGGGGGAAAATTCCCTGTGCTCCTCCAAGGCAGCCAGGAAAACATGGGTTTGCAGCTGAGGGTTTTTTTGGGTTTTTTTTCCCAGGAAAAATCCCAAAATTCTGGTGGCTGCAAGGCAAAGGCTGAGGCAAGCAAAGGTGGGATGGCAATCTGGGTTTGGTTTGCAGATCTGGGGGAATTTGGGACGTCAAATCCTGGGAATGGGGAATGTCCAGGTGGAGTAAATTCCTTCCTGGTGCTGAGAACAGCAGGGAAGAGTTGGAAGGATTTGCAGCAGAGCCTTGGGAAATGGATTTCCCCTCAGGAAATGCTCTGGGGCATCCCTGGAATTGTAATCTGGGATGATGGGAGGTGCTCATGGATGAGCTTGGAGATGCCTTCCGACCCAAAGCATTCCAGGGTTCTGGGATTCCCTTCCCAATCTGCTCAGTGTGACAGGGAATGTTCTACAGTTCATCCCACAGAACAAAAATCCTGAGGGAAAGGTGAATGTTCCCACAAAATTACAGGGAGAGCCCCAAAACGCTGAGGTGATAAAGTGTCCCTAATTCCAGGAAAAGTCTGGCTGCTGAGGGAACCTGGAAATTCCTCTCTGTTGGAAAATAAAAATCCAAAAATCCACTAAAGAAGCCCAAAATATCCACCCTTCTCCATGGAAAACACACCTAAGCCTTTCATGAATAACCCCTGGAATGCCCATGGATGGCTGGGAGAGCCTGAGGCCCTCTGCAAACAGGGATTTGGGGCTGGAGGATTTCTCCAGGGGGAGAAGAAATGGGAATTATCCAAAGAATTATCCTTTTTCCAAGGCCTGATCTGCAGAGGTGGTGGAAGGAGCAGGACTGAAGTCATTGTGCAATTCCTGCAGTCCTGAATCCAAGGATTTCACTCTGTAGGAAAGGGACTTTGGAAAAGGTGTCCTTTCCCATTTGTTAGAGGATGAGCCGCACATGACTGCCCCTCCTGACCTTCCCTGCTGAGCTCCAGCTCTGCTTCTTTCCGTGCCTTCCAATTTTTCCCAGGCTCAGATGGAAATTTGGGCTTTTTGGGCCCAGCCTGGATGTGCTGAGCTTCTCTGGGAAGAATTTTCCAATCCCAAGGATGCAGCTCCATGGATATGAGTTTATAAATCTGGTCTTCCCCATCCTATGCATTTTCCCTTCCTGTGCTTCCCTTTGGTGATCCCAGTGGGGTCACAGCAGGAAAATGGGAATTTCCAAACCCCTCCAGCTGAGAATGAGGCGTCCTAGATTCAGCTTCTCCCAGAATTCCCCCATAAATAACCTGAGATTTGCTGCAGCTCAGGACTTCAAAACAGGTTGAAGATCAGGATTTAAAAATCCACTTTTCCAGCCAGAACTAGACACTTTCCCTGTGGTATTTTACCCAGCCTCTGACCCTCTCCTGTTTAATTTATAAAGAGCTCTGCCTGCAGCGGGACGCTGGGAATTGCAGGGATGCTCCCAACACCTGAACCCCAAATATTCCAGCAGCACATCCAGCTCCTCCTGCCCCATCCTCCCCATCCCCCTGGAGCTCCAGCAGCTCCCCCAGCTCCTCCTGCACTCCCAATTCCCCCGGTGCATCTCCACCCAGCCACGTGAGACACCTACTCCCCATCTGCACATTCCCAAAGCAGCTCGGCACATTTGAGATTCCTCCCGGGAGCTGCAGGGGCTCCTCCTCTCCCCCAGGTTTTCTCACCCCAGGAGAAAGCCCAGCCATGGATGGAGGTGGTTTCACATTGCTCCTGGAGACAAGGAGCTTTTCCAGTGCTGTGGGCTGGCTGTTTGTGATTCCAGCCCCAAACCCCCGGATTATTGTGGGAATCTGATCGTCAGGTGACGGCAGCAAAAATTGCTGGGTGTTTCTTCCACCTTCACCAGGATTTGATGCTTTAAATATCCATTTTTTGGTGCTTTAAATCTCCATTTTTCATATGATGTTTCCAAGTTTCTCCACCTGATAAATCGAACCCCACTCCAACAAAAAGGTGGAAAAATATTCCTGGAGATCCAGCTCACCGCAGGAAAGGGGTGATGGGAATTCTCCACCTTTTTCAGGATGGCTGGTAAAATTTATTCCAGCTTCAAATCTGCTCAGCTGTCCTGAAGCTGCCCAGTGCAGCTTGGATTTCCTGCAGGGAAAAAAGGGATTTTTGGGATAAAAAGCAGTTCAGGGTGAGAGGAGAGGATGCAGGAATACAAAAAATAATCTTGAGAGATGGAAAAAAGGAGTTTATTCCTTCCTTTCTCTGTGCACACACCCTGTCCTGGTGGGGAAGATCTCAGACACAATCCTTTCTGTCTTGGAACTCAGGGATTTTTTTCCAAGTATTTTCCATTATTATGGAAAGTTTTGCTTCCTCCCCTGATCCCAATTCCAACCTCAACACTTTCCTCTATCCCAGGGTGCTCCGAGTCTTATTCAACCCAGCCTTGGACAGTTCCAGGGATCCAGGGCCAGTCCCAGCTTCTCTGGAAATTCTGTTCCAGATCCTCTCCACCTTCACAGGGAAAAATCCATCACAGCTACACCCAGCCCTGAATCCTGTGAAAATGAAACAGAACCTGGGAGGAGCACGGGAATTCTCCCATTGTGCAATTCCTTTGTAGGGAATTGATCCCATCCTCCTTCCTGGCTGAATAACCCAACCCCAAATCCTGAATAGAAGAGAAAATGGAAGTGATTGTCAAAGTCCACTTTGTGAAAGTGCTGTCTCTCTTTTCCTTGAGTTTTTGATTCTTTGAAATTTTTAATTTTAAAATTTTTTAATTTTTTAATATTTAATTTTTTTTTTTTTACTTTTTAAATGTTTTACTTTTATTTTTTTATTTTATAATTTTTAAAGTTTTTTCTTTTTTTAATCTTTGAATTTTGACTTTTCGCATTTCGATTTTTCCTTCTAGGAACAAGATGCCCGTGAAGTTTAATCTCTCCTAAGAGAGAAAAAAAAAACCACGGAGAGACAAAACAAAAAACCCATGGATCCTCTGTACTTCTCCAGCACGTTCAGCATGGAGGCCGCTCCCAGCCAGGCCAACTCGTCCCTGCTGCCCAACGGGACAGAGAACGGGACGCTGCCGGAGGTGCCACCATTCCAGTACATCCACAAGGTGCTCATCCCCATCTGCTACCTGCTGGTGTGCGCCCTGGGGCTGAGCGGCAACGCCCTGGTCATCTACGTGGTGCTGCGGCACGCCAAGATGAAAACGGTCACCAACATCTACATCCTCAACCTGGCCGTGGCCGACGTGCTCTTCATGCTGGGCCTGCCCTTCCTGGCCACCCAGAACGCCATCTCCTACTGGCCCTTCGGCTCCTTCCTCTGCCGCCTGGTGATGACCGTGGACGGCATCAACCAGTTCACCAGCATCTTCTGCCTGACGGTGATGAGCATGGACCGCTACCTGGCCGTGGTGCACCCCATCAAATCCACCAAGTGGAGACGCCCCAGGGTGGCCAAGCTCATCAGCGCCACGGTCTGGACCTTCTCCTTCTTGGTGGTGCTGCCCGTGATCATCTTCTCGGACGTGCAGGAGGATTTCCAGACGTGCAACATGAACTGGCCGGAGCCGGTCAACGTCTGGTCGGCGGCGTTCATCATCTACACCTCGGTGCTGGGCTTCTTCGGGCCCCTGCTGGTCATCTGCCTGTGCTACCTGCTGATCGTGGTCAAGGTGAAGTCCTCGGGGATCCGCGTGGGCTCCACGCGGCGCCGCCGGTCGGAGCGGAAGGTCACCAGGATGGTGGTGATCATCGTGGTGGTCTTCGTGTTCTGCTGGCTGCCCTTCTACACCATGAACATCGTCAACCTGATCCTCATCCTGCCCGCCGACCCCGTCCTCGAGGGGCTCTACTTCTTCATGGTGGTGCTGAGCTACGCCAACAGCTGCGCCAACCCCATCCTCTACGGCTTCCTCTCCGACAACTTCAAGCAGAGCTTCCAGAAGGTTCTCTGCCTCTGCAAGGGCGATGGAGCGGAGGATGGAGAGCCCGTGGAGCACAGGCAGGAGAACAGCAGTCGCCTGCAGGAGTCCATGCTGACCCAGAGGAACGTGGAGTTCAACGGGCACATGCAGACCAGCAAGGTCTGAGGGCATGGCCTGGCACTGCAGAGTCCCCTGGAGAACTTGGGGACTTCAAGCAGAGCACGGTCTAGCACTGCAAAGTCCCCTGGAGGACTTGGGGACTTCAAATGGAGCATGGCCTGGCACTGCAAAGTCCCCTGGAGGACTTGGGGACTTCAGTTCATGCAAAAGGAAAATGTGGAGCCCCAGAAGCTCCCACAAATGTACACAGAGGGCTCTTCCCTGCTTTTCCCAGCTGGAAGTGCCAAGCTCTGGTGGTGTCCTGATGCATCTGATGTCTGGGACCACTTTGGGGCCTCCAGGGAATGATTTCCAGGCTTTGTGCCCCTCTAGCCATGCAAACAACACTAAGCCAGCTCTAATTCTCTTGTTAAGTTTGGTTTAAGGTTGCTTTGTACTGCTGGGATCTGCTCTGAGCAGCAAACAGCTCAGCTGGGATATTTGGGAATTCTTCAAGGGGATTTCTGAAAGGAAAATGAGATTTCTTCAGAGTTTCATGCAAAAAAGGCACCAGCACTGCTCTGGAAATGGGTTCTGGTTGTGCTGGGTGCTGCCTTTGCTTTGTTTTCCTGCCATTAACCCATCCCAGGGAGCCAGAACAGCCAGGAACCCTTCAAACACAGCCAGAAAGGATAAAAAAACCAAGATTAGGAAAACATTCTGGAAAGGAATCAATGCAGCCATGACATTTCCACCTTGCCACCCCATGAAATGTGCTGTGACCCCGTTATTGTGATGTCAGTGCTGATGGCCGTGGGCTCCTGGGGAGGTTTGGTGTCCATTCCTTGGTTCTGAGTGTAAATCTGGACTCAAAGCTGCGTTTTCAGACACTAAACCCAGCTCAATCCCCTCTGAGCAAAAGTATGGACTCAAAATTGTGTTTTCAGACACTAAACCCAGTTCAATCCCCTCTGAGCATAAGTTTGGACTCAAAATTGTGTTTTCAGAAATTAAACCCAGCTCAATCCCCTCCTGACTGGTGCACTTGCCAGGGGGTGTTTGTGCCTCAGTCCTGGAGGTTTTTCCCGACTTTAATGATTCCATCATTCCATTTGTTCTGTTGGATGTGACCCTCACATTCCCAAAGGCAGGAACTCACCAAGACACAAGCACAGAGCCTGGCTGGGACCATGAGTAATTTACTCCCAGGTTTCTCCCAGTAGCAGGCAGTGCCCACCTGCCCTGCAGCACATTCCAAATCCCAGCATAGCCAGGTTTAGCTGATTAATTAATAAAATGAACTTTTCCTGTAGGTTTGGTATGAGCTGAGTGGTGATTCCCTCAGTTTTCCACCTGAAATGATCCTTCCTGGAAGCTCTGGAGAGGGAAATGACTGGAAAGCTCAAGGTTGGGGCAGGAAAATCTGCTTTGGAAAAAAAAAGGAAAAGATTTTAATAAATTCAGATTTCTGGGAAGGAGCTAAACCCTGTTTTGGGCAAAGCAAAGAGCATTTGTCCTCTCCTTCCATGGAGTTTGATCAAATCCTTGGAATTAAAGGGAATCAAATCCAAGGGAAGTGTTATCCAGAGGGAACAGACCCTGGAAAGGAGGTGGATAAACCTGGGCCTTGTTTTCCACCTGCCCCAGACCAATCCCACCTCTTTCCTCCAGATCAGGATGGGGATCCCAATTCCCAGAAAACAGAAATTCCAGCCAGTCCATCCAACATTCCCATTGGTAATGCTGCAATCCCTCACATTTATGGAGCAAATTCAGGAAAGCTCTTAAAGCCCCAATTCCCAGGAAAATTCCCTTTCCAAGCAGCAGCTCCCTGGGGAATTCAGTGCCATGGGAATGCTGCTTTGGATGAGATTTTTGTTTTCCTGGCCTTAGGAATTTTTTCTGGGATCAGCTCTTGCAGATCATCTCTCCCAGTGCCACTCAGCCTTTGCTCCATGGGATTCCCTCCCCATCCTAACAAATCTTTCCTCAGATCTATGCCTTGGGAAGGAGCTCTGCTGGTTTTTCCCTGCATCCCAAACGCCATTCCTGGGCTTCTCCTGGCAGCTTGGCAGAGGAATTTTGAGGAGCCAGCTGAGCTGCCAACGTCCCTGCACACATCCCATCAAAACATGTCATCCTTCCACAAAGAATGACAAATTCCAGGGAGAATCTGTCCTCCCAGCCAGCCCTTCCCAGCAGCTCCAGACAGCACCGACACTCCCCACATCCCTTTTTCTATCCACACATTCCAGCCCCAATCCCTCAGCCCCAGGGATTGAGTGACATCTTTAATACCTTGACAGACAATCCTTCCAAATTCCAGCTTATTCAGCTTTTTCTTTGATTTATCCAAGGATTCCAAATGTTGGCTCTGCTGTGCTGGAAAAAAAAAAAAAAACCAAGAAAAAACCACCCACGGGAAGATCACGGAAAATTTGCCCGGTGCCCACCTGACCCTCAGGAGGTGGAAAAATCATTTGGATAAAATAAAAATGAAATAAAAAAATAAATAAAAAATAAACTGGATTTTGTGGTTCAGGCTCCAGCTATGAATATTCAATGAGATCCATGGAATAAAGGGAATTGCAGCTGCTGGATACCAGAGGATGGGAAGGAAGGGTGTGTGGAAAAATCCACCAGGCAACCTTTGGGATACAGGAACAGCTTCCTTCAGGAATCCACTTTTATTCCATGAAAAATGGGTTTAATTGAGGGGGGGAAATAATGGATTCAGTTTGGACAAGTGGCATTAGGAGACAGCAATTCCAAAGGGCAGATTTCAGGTGGGCATACCAGAGGGATTGGGATCCATGGGCTTCACTGGGCACCTCCTGGGTTTCAGCAGGGTCACCATGGAATCCTCTGGCTTTGGGATCTTTGGGATCTGTCCTGGCTGCTCCCCAAGGGAGAAAAGACCCAGGAAAGTGCCTGGAGTGTGGAATTTATCCTGGGATTTATCAATGGATTGATGTTGGAGTAAGAGCAGGGCACACATGGAATTTTTGCACCTCCCCTCTTTAACTCCCAGTTAAACTCCCAGCTCTCTGTTCCCTGAGCTTCCAGGGCTGGGATTATCCCTGGAATCCAAACATTCCCTGTGCCACAGAGTCCTGGCATAGCCTTGACCCATGAGCAGCATCCTTAAATCCCACAAATCCCAATTTCCAGTCCCTGCTCCTTGGAGCTGCAGCCCAGGCAGGAGCGGCCGATTTCATTCCCAGCTTTATTCCCAGGGTATTTTATCCAGCTCCAGCCCCTCTCTCACCTGGAATGCCTCAGCTGCTCACCTCACCCAGCTCCTCGTGCTCCTGGGTCCTTCATTCCCTCCCCTTTGGGTGTTGTTTGGAGAACTCCATGGAAATCCGGCGCTGTTGCCATGGGATGGGCGACGCTCGGGGTTTCTGTGTTCCCTCTCCCTTTCACACTTAATCCTCCCTATCTGCCCATCATTCCCTGGAAAGTCACAGCAGGTGAAGCTGTCCCTGCTGCCTCCCTTCTCCTGAGCCTCTAAGCCCTGGATCCCGCTCCTGACCTCGAGTTGGGAGTCATCCCAAATATTGGATGGATCCCATTCCCTCAGCCTGGGATGAATCAATTTTTCCAACAGGAAAAGCGGCAGCCCTTGGAAAAAGCTGGGAATGAACAATCCTGGCCTGGGGTGTGGGAGATAACACTGGAATTTGTGTGGGGATTTGACCCTGGATGCAAACACACCCCAGGCCTGGAATTGCAGTGACTTGGGAATTATCAGGGAAGAGTTTTCCCTTCACCTTCCATGGATCACCTCTGCTGGCTGGATCTGGTGTTTGTAATCCTGGTGCATCCCTCTGGGATGGGAGATCCAGGATTTCAGCCTCTCCTGCTCCATAGGATCTCTATTTCATATTCCACAGGGAGATTTGGGGCTTTTCCCCTCCCTGCTCCAGAGGTGAATCCCACCATGGGTTCCTCTGGAGAATCTGGTGGAAAAAACAAAGGATAAAAATCCCTCCAAGGCCTCAATGAATTTATGCACTCCTGGCTTTTCCTAGCAAAACAAAGAATCGTGGAATGCTCTGGATTGGGAGGGATTTAAAGCTCATCCCATTCCAACCCCTGCCATGAGCAGGAGCAATTTCCACTATTCTAGGATGCTCCAAGCTTTGACTTTGGGCACTTCCAGGGATGGGGCAGCAATCCTGGGCACAATTCCTGCATCCAGGAGGAACAACAGAGACAGGCAGGACAAATTCCAAGCACAGTTCCTGCTTCCAAAAATCAAGGAGCACAAATTCCATGCACAATTCCTGCTGCAGGAACCAGGCAGCACAAATCCTATGCACAATTCCTGCACAATTCCTGTTTTCAAGAGGCAGGCAGCACAAATCCCATGCACAATTCCTGTTTTCAAGAGTAGGCAGCACAAATCTCATGCACAATTCCTGCTTCACCAGAGCAGGAGAAGCGCTGGCTTCGGGAGCCGTGGTGACAGCAGCTCCCCTGGGCAGGGTAATTAATTAATTATGCATTCCCAGAATTAATGAGAGCATCCTGTTTGCATCCCTGTCCCGTTTTTTCCACAGATCCCAGCCCCATATGCCGGGTGCCAGACAGGGCTGACAGGCCCCATACCACATTTGGAATTCTTTTATTTCCTGACAGGAATCAGAGGCATTTCCATGGAATTAATTCATGGCACTCGATGGTGTTTGGATTTTTCCAGCACGTTTTCAGGGAGGGAACAGCAGATCTGTGGGTTTGTGACCTGATGGAAACATGGGAGCTGAGCTGACAGAGGCAGGGAATGGAAATGGGAATGGGAATGGAGGGTTCTGCATCCCTGGAATCACAGGATCACTGTGATCACTGAGCTCATCCCTGTCCTGGTGTCTTTTCCATCCTGGAAAAATTCAGGATTCTGACTTAAAAGGGATCAAAACAGAGAAAACCAGGGAGAAATGATCTGGTGGAGGAATTGTTTTGGATTCTTAAAAAGGGAGATGATTCCAATGTGATCCCCTGGGAATTCACTCAGGCTCTGTGCTGGGTTTTGGATCAGCAAAACCCCAAATCCAGTGGCAAGTCCTCAGTTTCCTGCACGTGGAATTTCACTCCTGGAATGGCCTTGGGGAGGCTGAGATTGCAGCATTCCAGCCTGGAGCCAGCAGAGAGGGATTTGCTTCCAGAACCATCCAGAGGAAAACCAATTCCTTGGATTTTAATGTGATTTTCCCTGGAAATAGCATTAGGCTGTCATTCCCCATGTCTGGCAGGGATTGTTGGGTGCCCAAATCTCTGCAGCAGCTTTTGGCTGGAATACAAATGCAGCTGTGAGGGGAAACATCCACAGCTTTGGGAACAGGAAAGCAAATCCCTCCTCATCCCAGGGATCCAGCTCCTCTCCCTGTTTGCCCATTCCTGAGGGGATGAAGCTCTTCTCACATCTCTGCTGGGGCCAAATCCAGCCCTGCAAGGACACAAATCCTGTTATCCCCACAGGATGGCCCTGTCCCATCCAAATCCTAGGGATTTTACTGAAAAACCTGGGAGAGAACAGGAAATCTCGCAAAATTAGGCAAGGAAAAGGTGCTGAGGGCAGAGATCACACATGGATTTTCTGCGTCTTGCCAGGAAAAATAAAACCACTGTGGAAAATCAGGAGGAGAATGAGGAATCCTCAGGATTTACAGGGACAGAGCAGGGAGCAAGAACAGGAAACACCCAAATGAATCCCACTTCTCATTCCAGGGAAGGATGGAGATTCCAGCCTGTCCTGGCTTTGGGAATTGAGATTCCCAGACTGCCCAGGGATTGGGAATTGCCATTCCCAGCCTGTTCTGGCTTTGGGAATTGTCATTCCCAGCCTGTCCAAGGATTGGGAATTGCCATTCCCAGACTGCCCAGGGATTGGGAATTGCCATTCCCAGCCTGTCTAATGATTGGGAATTGAGATTCCCAGCCTGTCCTGGGTTTGGGAATTTGCCATTCCCAGCCTATCCAGGTTTGGGAATTGCCCAGTCTGTGCAGGGATTGGGAATTGCCAATCCCAGCCTGTCCAAGGATTAGGAATTGCCATTCCCAGCCTATCCAGACTTTGGGAATTGCCATTCCCAGCCTGTCCAGATTTTGGGAATTGCCCAGTCTGTTCTGGGTTTGGGAACTGCCATTCCCAGCCTGTCCAATGTTTGGAAATTGTCATTCCCAGACTGTGCAGGGATTGGGAATTGCCATTCCCAGCCTATCCAGGTTTGGGAATTGCCATTCCCAGCCTGTCCAGGGATTGGGAATTGCCATTCCCAGCCTGTCCAATGATTGGAAATTGTCATTCCCAGACTGTGCAGGGATTGGGAATTGCCATTCCCAGCCTATCCAGGTTT